AGGGTCCATGGCCTCCCAAATCTGCTCCTCCCGGCAGGAGCTGGGGCAGCCCTTCTCTGTGCCCCCAGCATGCCCAATCCCGAGTTTCATGGGGGCAGAGCCCGGATCTGACTCAGGCCTATGTCCCCAGCACCTCCCCACACAGGGTCTGGCCCCACAAGGCTTTGGGAAATAGCTGCTGAAGGAGTGGGGGAACATACTCACATGCCCACATGCTTCTCCAACTCGAACTCCTACTCATTCCTCAAAACCCAAACGCAAATGCCCCCTCCTCCAGGAGGACCTCCCGGACTGGCCACAGCAGAGGGTCTCCACTCTCTACAATGCTGCAATAGCGCCCCCCATCTGGCCAGGAACTCCCCGAGGGCCCGAATCTTGGCCGAGTTCCCCAGAGCGGGCTCAGCTCAGAGCAGGGAACTGTTCAGAGAGGGAATGGATGGTCTCCAGAGGCTGGATAAGAAAGCCCCGAGGAGCCTGTGCTGGGAGATCAAATACCATTTCCTGTCGGGGTGACAACCCGCCCTCTCCCCCAACACACACACACACACACACACACACACACACACACACACACCAGTTTGAGTCTGTTTCTCCCCGTCTGTAAAAGAGAGAAAAGTAGACCAGCGGGTGTGGCTCAGCAGGTGAGCGTCCACCCAGGAACCAAGAGGTCACAGTTGGAGCCCCAGTGGGGGCGTGCAGGAGGCAGCCGATGGATGATTCTCTTTCTATCTCTCTCTCCCTCTCCCTTCCTCTCTGAAATGAATAAAAATATATTGAAAGAGAGAGAGAGGATAAAAGTTCTTCCCTCTGAGGGCTCAGCATGCAGAAAGGGCCCAATAAATGCTCGCTATTCCAGCCAAAACTGGTTTGGCTCAGTGGATAGAGCGTTGGCAGCCTGCAGACTGAAAGGTCCCGGGTTTGATTCCGGTCAAGGGCATGCACCTTGGTTGCGGGCACATCCCCAGTGGGTGTGTGTGTGTGTGTGTGCAGGAGGCAACTGATTGATGTTTCTAACTCTATCCTTCTCCCTCCCTCTCGGTAAAAAATCAATAAAATACATATTTAAAAAAAAAATGCTTGCCATTCCAAAGCCACATCTATTGCTCTCCCTGGTCCAGGGCCAGTCTCCCGGGGGGTGGGGAACGGGAAGGGCAGGGCCCATCGGGGTTGTAGTTGCTCTGTGAACCCTCCCGAGTTGGTGACCATTCAGATGCTCGTCCTCTCTGACACTAGCATGTAGCCGGCGCCTGAAAGCATGGGCCGGGGAGCTGGGTTGCCCGGGTTCAAACCCCAGCTCTGCCTCTGCGTCGCACAAGCTCCTCCACCTGCCTGGGACTCAGTTTCCCCATCTGTGAACAGGGATGATCATCGTGCCTCCCACATCAGGTGGTGGTGAGGGAGGGGGAGGACATGAGGTCATTCAGGGAACGGTTCACCACAGAGCCGGCTGGTGAAGTGCCCGCCAGCAGCTGCTCGGTGGGGGAATTAAAGGGCAGGTGCCAGCCTGTCTGGGGGTCCGGGAGTGTGACTGGAGGGACCACACGGGTCTCAGCCGGTCCAAACCAGCAGCTCCCATGCCTGGTTGGTAAATAAAGGGGCGAAGGTGGCAGGTGGGTGAAGGTGGCAGACTGAGACAGATGGTGATTGCTAACAACCTGGGTGACCTTGAGTTGGAAATCAGAACCCTCCTTTTGCACCTGGAAGGAACTTTGTTAAAATTAGGGCCCAACAATGAGGGGATGCATGGATTCCATAGTCCTGGGGACCCACAGGTGGGGACCCCAAGGCCCAGGAGTGTGTGTGAGCCCGGGGAGGGGTGGTGGTGGTGGTGGGGCGCCTTGGGAGGGGGTTTGTGGCTCTGACAGGGAAGAAGGTGAGGGGGTGAAGCCTGGTCTCCCTACACAGAATGTCCCCCCCCCCCCACCCCAGACCCTCTTTCTTGTTGCTGATTGTGGAAGTCCAGGGGCCTGAACGCTGAGCCAAGGCCCCCGGAAATTTCCACTGGTGCCCTGACCAGTGTGGCTCAGTGGATAGAGCGTCGGCCTGTGGATTGAAAGGTCCCAGGCTTGGTTCTGGTCAAGGGTATGTACCTTGGTTGCGGGCACATCCCCGGTGTGGGGTGTGCAGGAGGCAGCTGATGGATGTTTCTCTCTCATCCATGTTTCTGACTCTATCCCTCTCCGGAATTTCCGCTGGTTCCCATCTTTGCCCCTGGGTTCTTGGGGTTCTCGGGGCCCTCGGGAAGCTGGCTTCTCCGCTCCTTTCCGTTTGAACCGCTCACGCGGCCAGCTCGTCCCTAATTTCCTCCGCTCACCCGTCACTCTCTGAAATGACCTATATTGGCTTGCTGGCTTGCTTTGAGATTTTTTTCGTTATTTGATCTCCCTGACTCCACCTGGCTGTGCCTATACAGACAGACCCCAGTGCCTGGAACAGACTGTGCTCAGTCCATATGTGCCACGTGAAGGGATGAGGCCGAGACCTCGGTCCAAGACAAGCAGGCTGGACCCTGGTCCGCATGGCTGGGCCCGCCCTGCCCTCTCTGTCTAACACGGAGAAAGAAGTTAAAGGCCACAAAGAGAAAGCTAGAACAATATCTAAAACGCTGGAGAAGCCAAAACCGGTTTGGCTCTGTGGATAGAGCGTCGGTCTGCAGACTCAAGGGTCCCAGGTTCGATTCCGGTCAAGGGCATGTACCTCGGTTGCGGGCACATCCCCAGTAGGGGGTGTGCAGGAGGCAGCTGGTCTATGTTTCTCTCTCTCATGGATGTTCCTAGCTCTCTCTATCCTTCTCCCTTCTTCTCTGTAAAAAACCAATAAAATATATTTTTTTAAAAATAAAACAAAATGCTGGAGAAGTCAGGAAATGCCAGGGTGCAGAGAAGCGGGCTTAGCTGGTCTCCATCACGTGGACCTTTGGGTGTCAGACGGTGTAGGTGGGAGAGGGTGGGGCCAGGACTGGTCACCTGCACGAATTCCCCCACAATTTGCAAAACAGAAGGGAGGAGAGGCAGTTCTGTGTCTCTCCCAGGAGCTTTTTCTCAGGGAGCCCCAACTCTGTCAGTGGGTGGGCAGGTGGGGCCGGCTGTATGCCTCCTGGTTCTGTCTCAGGTCCCCCCCCCCCAAACACACCCCTGCTCCCCAGCCCTCTCTGTTCCCAGATGGGGAATCCAAGGCCCAGAGGTGAGCAGGCACTTGGCCTGGATCCGAAGCCTCCCCGTGGCCCCACTAAGCTCCCAGCCCCGCAGGTGTGAGCACCAGGAAGTCTGGGGGCCAGAGAAGTGAAAGCGGGAAGTTACTTTGAGAGGAGGAGGACAGAGAAGGTGGGAGGAGGTGAAGGGTGGGGGGAGAAGGGAGTGAGGGGAGGAGAGGGAAGAGGCTGGAGACCAGGGGGTGTCCGGGCCAGAGGGGATGTGAATCCCCAGAGGTGACCGAGGCCCAATCCTCTGGTGGGAGAGGCAGGAAGGGACGGAGAGGCCCTGGGGGTGGGTGACAACGGGGGGGTAGGGGGGAGGCATTTCCAGAGGCAGGAGGGACCGACGTGCGATTGTGCTGAGACCAGCAGGGCTGGAGAGACAGACAGGCCCAGGGGATGGGGGAGGCAGGGAGCCCCCGGAAATGGCTGAGACGCCTAGGGAGACACAAAGGACAAGTGACAGAGATGGACAGACAGAGGCAGGCGGGGGGGCAGTCAGTCGGCTGGCCTGGCAGACATGCACCAGGGAGGAGGGATGCTGGGCCCCCGCTGGGCCCTGGCCCCGGGGCTGTGAGGGCTGGCTGACCCCTGACCTGCGTGCACAGAGCCCGCTGGCAGGACCACCCTGCTGGCGGGACCCCCCTGCAGGTGCCCCCGCCAGGTGTGCCCGCCTTGGCCTTGGCATCCCAGGCGAGTGGATGAGCCAGACCCAGTGTGTGTGTGTGGGCGGGAGGCAGGGGGAGCAGCTGCCTCGCTGAGACTGTTGGGGGGAAGGGGGGACTCCAGGCTGTCCCTGACCGTGTGTCCCTGACTCTGTGACCCCTGTTTGGAGGCAGAGCTGGGGGTCAGGGGGAGGGGCCCAGAAGCCCCGAATTCACCCTGCCTCCCTGCTCGCCGGCCCCTCCTCAGGGGGATCGGATGCCACGGGCTCCAGCGGCATGTCCTCTCTGCAGACCCTGCCCGGGCATCCCCTGCGCCCCCTGCCCCCCTCCACTCTCCCCTGCCTGCTCCACAGGCCGGCCACCCCCAGTCCCCCCCCCCCCGCCCCTCCAGGGCTGACATTCACCCTTGACCCTGGCCAGCCCTTCCCCCCTTCTCCGGCTGTCCTCTCCTCCCCGGGTCCCAGCTCCCTGAGTCCCCAGCCCAACTTCCTGGGTCCCCTTCCCCCTACATACCTGCACCCCCAAAGACCACACTCCCCCCCCCCCCCCAGCTGACAGGACCCGGCTGGGGGGCTAGCCCCCACCAACCCCTGCCGGCCTGGCCTTGGGACCGAGGTCAGGGGACACCCTGGCCCCTCCTCACCCTGACCCCGGGGAGACCCCATCCCCCACCTCTGCCTCCCCCCCCCCCTCCAGCCCCAGCCCTCGGGCCAGCACCCCCACCGGGCCCTCTCCGCCCAGAGAGCGACACCCTCGATGGGGCAACTCCTTACCCCGACCAACACCGCAACTCAGCTCAGACATCCGGCCCGGGGACCCCTTACTCCAGCGTGGGACCCCCTCCCCGATCCGGGTCTGCACACCCCGTCCCCCTATCCCCCCCCCCCCCCCCTGCACCGCCGGGGCCAGTGTCCGCGACCTCGGATCGCCCCGCTGCAGCCTCCAGGCCCAGGATCGCACCCCCAAACCGGACCAAGCTCAGAGGCACCGATCCCGGCGTCCGAGGACCCCCCCCCCCCCCGGGGCCAGACCTGGGCGCCCGGGGGCGTCCCCTTCCCCACCCGCCGCGGATGCACCCCCTCCACAGCCCCCCGGCCCCCCAGCCCCGCGCCCGGCCCCCCGCCCCGCGCTGCGGCGGGTACCTCGGCTGATGACGGCCAGGCCGGCCAGGGCGGCGGCGGCGAGGAGCCGGAGCCGGGCCCCGGGCGCGGGGGGGGGCATCGCGGCGGCGGCGGCGGCGGCAGCGGCGCGCAGGGGGCGGAGGGGCGGGGGGGCCGCCCCGGGGCGCGCGAGGCCTGGGGGGGAGAGGGGGAGGGGGAGGGGACCCCGCCAGCGGCTGCACCGGCCCGGGGGGGGGGCGGCGGGGGCGGGGGAAGGGGCTGGGGGGGCGCGACGAGGCGGCCCGAGCTGCTGCAGACCCGGGGAGGGGGGCGGCGCTGACGGGCAGGGCGGCCGGCCAATCAGGGCGCTCGGGGGGCCGGGGAGGCGGGGCCGGCGGGGGCGTGCGGGAGGGAGGGAGAAGGCCTTTGTTACTGCGGCCCGGCCCCCACCCACCCCACCCGCCCGCCCCGCGGCCCCGTCCCCCGCCCCGGTCCCCCAAACCGGCCGAGACTCTCCTCCTGCAGCCCGCCGCCCTCTGCCTAGGGCAGCGTCAGCCGCCTAGGACCAGGGCGCCAGGCCCCCAGCCCTCCTCCCTCAGACCCAGGGCTCCAGGCCCCCAGACCCTCCTCCCTCAGACCCAGGGCTCCAGGCCCCCAGACCCTCCTCCCTCAGACCCAGGGCTCCAGGCCCCCAGCCCTCCTCCCTCAGACCCAGGAGCCCAGGCCCCCAGCCCTCCTCCCTCAGACCCAGGGCTCCAGGCCCCCAGACCCTCCTCCCTCAGACCCAGGGCTCCAGGCCCCCAGACCCTCCTCCCTCAGACCCAGGGCTCCAGGCCCCCAGCCCCTCCTCCCTCAGACCCAGGGGTCCAGGCCCCCAGCCCCTCCTCCCTCAGACCCAGGGGTCCAGGCCCCCAGCCCCTCTCCTCCCTCAGACCCAGGGGTCCAGGCCCCTAACCCCTCCTCCCTCAGACCCAGGGGTCCAGGCATCCAGCCCCTCCTCCCTCAGACCCAGGAGTCCAGCCCCTCCTCCCTCAGACCCAGGGGTCCAGACCCCCAGCCCCTCCTCCCTCAGACCCAGGAGTCCAGACCCCCAGCCCCTCCTCCCTCAGACCCAGGAGGTCAGGCCCCCAGCCCCTCCTCCCTCAGACCCAGGGGTCCAGGCCCCCAGCCCTCCTCCCTCAGACCCAGGAGTCCAGCCTCTCCTCCCTCAGACCCAGGGCTCCAGGCCCCCAGCCCCTCCTCCCTCAGACCTAGGGGTCCTGGCACCCTCGCCTGGGCCCACCTTCCCCACCAGCAGATGCAGCTCCCCTGTGTCCCTGTGGACATAGTTCAGCTTCTCTACTTTCAGGAATAACATTGACTTTAGGGAAGACATTTCGTTCTTCCTTCCATCCCAACCCTCACCCCCAGGAGAACAAGAGAATGGGCAGGGGGAGCGTGAGGGAGGCTGGGGGACCTGATCTGGGCCTGGGAATAGTGAGGGGATGCCGGTCCAAGGCTTAGGTGCGAAAGACCCCCTTTACTCATTCTTTTCGGGGGCCTGGCTGGGTGATATTGGTTAAGTCGCTTCTCTTCCCGAATCTCAGGGTCCTGCCCTGCTGGGTGGTAACCGGGTTACTGAGGAGAGTGAGGAAGACCCTGGGAGCTGTTAGCTGCCCAGCACACCAACACCCTCTGCTTCCTCCTCTTCCTGGCCTAGTCCTCCCTCCCGGCCCCCAGAAGTGTCCCTGTCCCACCCCGTCCCTGGTACAGGCCTCTGAGGGCAGTCTCGGAGCCGGCTTCATGTCTGGGGCAGCTGGGGGCTGGAACGTTTAAAGTCGCTCTGAGTGTCGGCCTGCAGACTGAAAGGTCCCAGGTTCGATTCCGGTCAAGGGCATGTACCTTGGTTGCAAGCACATCCCCAGGAGGGGGCGTGCAAAAGGCAGCTGATCCATGTTTCTCTCTCCTTGATGATTCTAACTCTCTATCCCTCTCTCTTCCTCTCTGTGAAAAATCAATAAAATATATATATTAAAAAAACAACAACACTGGAAGCTGCCTCAGATAGGCATCTATTGTGGTCGTGCATCAGAGCTTTAATTTAAAAAAAAATAAAAAAATAAAGTCGCTCTGAGCTGTCACCTTCTCCCCGGGTTTGGCTGCTCCGACCACCCCAGCCAATGCCCTGGCCTCCCCGCCCCCACCTCTGTCACCTCCTGAGTCCCACGATCCCGGAACATCACCCTCACACCGCCCCCTGCCCTTCTCTCTGTTCCTAGAGAAAGCCAAACTTACTGCAGCCTCAGGGCCTTTGCACATGCTGTTCCCTCTTCCTCAGTGCCTTCCTACCAGACTGGCACCGAGGTCTCCCCTCTGAGAAGGCTTTGCTGACCCTGCTCTGCACAGAACCCCCACTCCCGACAGACAGTGTATGTCTGTCTGTCTGTCTGTCTGTCCGACCTTGGGGTTTGCTTTCTCCGGGGCTGAAAGATGAGACAGGGGGGCCGGAGAACCAGGACACAGGCTTTATTGGAGGAGAAGGACCCTGCCGGGCTGCCTTCCAGCGGGGGAGAGAGCACACGTGCAGGGGTGAAGGCGCCTTTTGAGGGGAGGAAAGGGAAGGGATGGGGTTTAGGGCACTCGGCACACGCTGATTGGTGGTTTCATACAAGGCACATAGGTAGGGACTTAGGAATCAGGGGGCTTAGGGTATTTGGCAGGTGCTGACTGGTGGTTCAATGTACAGTCCATGTAAGGTGCGTCGCTGAAGGATGCCCAGAACCAAACCAGAGACGGTCGGACCTGCATCGCCCCACCATTTGTCCTCCAAGCAGCTCTGAAATACCGTGGCTGACATGTACACACAAGGAACTGTTTGACATTGAAACTGGGACTCAAAAGAACTGTTGGCCCAGAAAGGAACTCACTACAGACTGATTCACTGGCCTCTCAGCATAACCAGTACGGCTTGTCTCAGTTTCGGTTCTTATGAGGGAATTCCTTGGATCACATGATCTCACGCATCTAGGCGAAAATAATGAACAACATAAATTGATGAACAGAAACAGACCTGGAGGCAGAGAAACAGCGACCAGACTGTCAAACCCCAGAGGGAAGGTAGGGGAGGGTGGGGATAAAAGGGAGAGATCAACCAAAAGACTTGTGTGCATGCATATGAGCCTAACCAGTGGTCAAGGACAACAGGGGGTGGGGCATGCGTGGGGAGGGGTTTGGGATGGGAATAGGGGGATGAGGACAAACATGTGATACCTTAATCAATAAAGAAATAATAAAAAAAATGTACAGTGCATATAAGGTGCCTGGTTAGGTGCTCAGGAATGTCCGGGCTGCAGGTGGAGTTTACGTCATTCTCCGTCCGGCAGTTGGGGGTAGGGAGAATCTAGCAGTGGCATTTCCCATTGCCTTATTTCATGTTCACGTGTGCATTTTCAGTCACACACACACACACACACACACACACACACACACCCCGCCTGCATGCCCCACTTCCAGAACGTAAGCTTTGCTTGAGAACGTCCTCACCCGCCCACGCCCACGCCTCGGCCCAGTGTCTGGGGATTCCATCTGCGCTTGGCAAGGGGTTTGCCTTCTGAGTGGAGATGCCTCCTTTTCGCAGGACGTGGGTGTGGAGAGAGGGACTCCCTTCCGTCTCTGAGCTTCTAATCCGATTGGCAAACGAGAGGCTTTTCTTGGACCCCTGCTTTTTTTTTTTTTTTTTTTTTTTTAGAAAAAAGCACGTCTTTGCCCTGACCGGTGTGGCTCAGTGGATAAGAGCGTTGGCCTGTGGACTGGAGGGTCCCGGGTTCGATTCCAGTCAAGGGCATGTACCGTGGCTGCGGGCCCATCCCCAGTAGGGGGTGTGCAGGAGGCAGCTGATGGAAGTTTCTCTTTCATTGATGTTTCTAACTCTCGATGCCTCTCCTTTTCTCTCTGTAAAAAAAAAGTCAATAAAATATATTTAAAACAAACAAAACAAAATAAAACAAAACACAAGGCTTTAACGACCAGCATGTTCGAATCCAGAGATTTCCCACTGAACTCTGAATCTTTGGATTCTCCTAAAAGAAAAGAAAAAAGTCACAAGATCTGGCACTAGAGGACCCAGGGAGGTGGGTAGCAGGGAGGTGCTGGAGTGGGAGGAGCAGGGTTGGCTGCTGCGGGGCTCCCCCTGCTGGTGGGCACCTGCTCTACAGGCGGCCTGCCAGGCCCACTGTGCTCCTTTTGGTACCCGCCTCGCCCTGTGGGGTTTTAAGGTTGCGGACCCTGCCCTGGAGTCGTACAAGGTCAGGAGAAGAGGACCAAGGAGGGGGACCAGGGGCCTTGGAGTCAGGGGTCCCGAGCAGGACACAATGGCCTGAGGCATTGGGAGCCTCGGTTTCCCTGTGTGCAGAGCAGAGCGTGGAGGGTGAGGTCTCAGGAGCCCCAATGCCCCCTCCCCCCCCAATATTCCCATAGAGAAACCTCTGTTTGTGATTTTTAAAAAAATATATATTTTATTGATTTTGTACAGAGAGGAAGGGAGAGAGAGAGAGCGAGCTAGAAACATCGATGAGAGAGAGTCATCGATCAGCTGCCTCTTGCACACCCCCTACTGGGGATATGCCCGCAACTAAGGTACATGCCCTTGACCGGAATCGAACCTGGGTCCCTTCAGTCCCCAAGCCCACGCTCTATCCATTGAGCCAAACCAGTCTCGGCCGTTTGTGATTTTTAAAAATGTACACTTTTATTTATTTCAGAGAAAGGAGAGGGAGAGATAGAAACATCAATGATGAGAGAGAATCATCTATCGGCTGCCTCCTGCACGCCCCCTACTAGGGATCGAGCCCACAACCCTGGCACATGCCCTGAGTGGAATCGAACCCGGGACCTTTCTGTCTGCAGGCCGACGCTCTATCCACTGAGCCAAACCAGCGAGGGCAGGTTTCACTTTGCTTTTTCGGTGTTTCAGCCCTGCCTTCCTGCAGGTCTGTCCCTGCAGCTCGCTGAGGCTAGGCTGGATGGCGGTGTCCGCAGCTGTGGGAGGGTGGCTGTCACTCTGGATTCACAGTGCCCTCTGTGGCCGGCCTCTGCGCCAAAGAGAGTCCCTTCCTGTGCTTCAGGGGCCTCTGTGACTCCTAC